TAGGGCCAGGGTTTAGTGGTGGGATGGCAGGGTTAGGGGAATGGTTGGACTTGATGATCTTGGAGGTCTTTTCCAACCTAAACGATTCTGTGAGCCCAAGTCCTCATCCGTGTCGTTGCTTTCTAAGGTAGCCCTTGACCCTGCTAGATTTGCTGGGGTGCTTTGTTCCCACCAACATGTGGTTGGACTTCAGTTACACTAAAACTTTGCCATGCTGGGATGCCAGGTGACCCAGACTGCCCTTTATCTGTGCACTGAGGTATTTATTGCTTGGCACACAGCTGCCTCATCTGTGTGCCTTCTCTGTAAGAATGTAGGGATTTCTGAAGTTTCAAACAGAGCAGGGAGAAGAAGGGCTCTGGGAGAGACTGACGCGATACGTACCCATGCAAGTGGGGATTTCCTGTTTATAATTCGTCTTTTCATCCGAGTGCTGGGTTGACTTTCTTAATACAAGTGTTGAGTGGTACTTAAATTATTGTTGATATATTATATCTTTAAAACATTGATTTATCAGCCAAATGTTGTGACTTATATTATGTGTGTGTATAGCTGTGTATATGCACATTTATTTTATCAATAAGTGCGTAGATGCATTAAAATCGTTTGGCAAGATCTATTTTTGACAGAATTTGACAGCTTTTTTTTCAATTAATTTTGGTTCCCTCCCTCAGTCTTTGTAAATGAAGAAACAAAAAAGACAGCACACCCAGTCTTTATTGTGTGGAAAAGCTTTTTCTTTAATCGCTCCTGATTTTCAGTTTGGCTTGAAAGCACATTTTCATTCAAAGTGAAAAAGTTAAGCTGAAAATCAGGAAAGCTTATTTTCCTCTTCTGTGGTATGAATAAAAATGAGATGCCGGTGCTGAAAACATGAAGTGTATCATGATGTGAGATGACAAGTCTAATTCAATAATAGCAATTACTGTTGCCTTTGTTCACTAATATAATTTTAAATGTAAAACAAGGGTTTGTTTGGGGTTTTTTTGGGGGAAAAAAAGTACATCTAACACAGCTAAGATAGTTTAGATCCCAACTTGCTTAATATTTCTTAAAATACGTGGTTTTGCATCTTTAATGCAGTTCTGTATCCAAGCTAACTATGGTTTACCTACTCAGTATTTTCAAGTAGAACAACAAAAAATTGTTCGAGTAAATGTACACTCAACAGAAGGAACGTTTGAGTAAATGCATTGTAAATCCTGTCTATTCCCAGTTAGTGACTGGGAATAGGGATTCTAATGTGCAAGCTGCATTAGGTTCCAAGTCGGTGTCGGTCACTGAAAACAAACCTCTTGGTTTTCTGTAAAGTACATTTTAAATAAATGCTAAGGAGATTATGGTGAATTAGATCGGTCTCACGTTCCATGATTTTAAATCATTATTCAAATCGTGATTACAGCCGCATAAGTACCAGTCAGTCCGGTACATCAGACCACAGTCTTGGTTGTGTCCTATACTACGACGGAGCCCTGAGGTGCTGCTGTATAAGAGACATCCCTGACCTTGCTCCTTATTTTCTTGGCTCCTGCTCCCTGTATGCTGATGCTGCCATTTTCTTCTCTACTTCTTTTTACACTGCCACGTGTGGTGTTACTGCTTTTCATCCAGCTTTGCACAGGTGCTTGCCAGTCTCAGTGGATTCTCTCCCGAATGCCTCCTCTTGTCAAGCTGCTCAGGAGGAGCTATTCATACCTATTTTTTTTGAAGATACGTATCACTTCCTTTCCTATAAACTTCCAAAAAAGCAGGTGGCTTTTTTTACTTTTCATTCACGTTTGGTATTATTACAAATAGGTAAGACAAAAATGAAATGGAGTAGTGACTAGTCCAATGTATTTATCTAATAAAGTATGGGGAGAGTTTAGCTTTAAAGAGGTGCTAGAAAAACAAAGACTCCCCACTTAAGTTGCTGTAGCATGTTTGTGCCATCTGTACTGCAGATGCTAAAGTATAAATTTGGCTTCCTCTAGGAGACATTAGGCTGGCCATGTGGTGGAGACAGCTGCTGAGATGCGAGGGAATCTTTGAAACCGTATAGCAAGCATATTATTATTTCTCTAGCTGCTGATGGGGTGGGACTAGGGGGCATCTGAATTTTGAGCCAGCTTTGCTGTGTGATGTAGAATTATTTCTATCCGTATAATTATTCTCTCACTACATAGCATTCTAAAGTAATTTAAAAAATGTTAATTGGAAGTATTAAATTAAAAATGAATCGGCAAGGTCATCTTATAGTTGGATATCGCTCATCGGGTGATGTAATACAGGCTGTAGAAAGCCTCGGGATAAAGCTGACGTAATGTAAACTCGATTCTTTGTGTGTAATGGTCATCTTATCTGATGAGATTATGCTTCTGTAAGTGGTACAGAGTATAGCTTGTCTGAGATGGTCGAAAACTAATGCACCTAAATGAAATGAATGTGAATTCTGGTTCTGAAAGTCACACTCCTGACCACAAATAGCTTTTTTGCTTTTATAAAAAACTTGATTACCAAAGTATTGGGAATATTTTTTTTTTGCATCCATCAAAACATGTATGTAGTCATTTACATTTATCAGGTACCAGCTTATAGTTGTTTTTATTCTTGTGCTATAAAACATTTCTGTTTGTTTTTGTAAGCAGTCAACTGAAAAAAAGAAGGGCCAACTACCTCAAAGAACAAAGAAGTATATGAACGAAACTAAAATTTATTGCTACAGTAGTAGACAGTGGTACTAGTATAACTGTGATGTCTAAATTTTATTATGACTCGTGTCTTGAAATCCTAAAGAAAAAAAAAAAACCTATGCAGCTTGGAGACTGGGAAAGGCATCAGTGGGGATTCTTGGGTTTTAAAGGAGTAAATGGTGATTTAAAGAAAAAAAAAAACCTATGCAGCTTGGAGACCGGGAAAGGCATCAGTGGGGATTCTTGGGTTTCAAAGGAGTAAATGGTGATGTGGGTATAAGCCCTGTGGACATTCTCCGATGTGTATAGACTGAAATCACGAGGGAAGGTGCTGACTAGTGGGTGGAAAAGGATAGGGATGTGTGCAAAAAGAAGTTCATGGGGCTAGGTTAGAAATGTCAGTGTCGTGTAGCATTCTGAGATTGACGAGAAGCAACCTGAATTTGATATATGATAAGAAAGCTGATTTTAATACATGAGGGAGCATGCTTCAGCAGGGGATTTAAATGATGGGATTACATCATTTTCATTGCAGTTGGCATGGTTTTGAATTTTGAAGGCTGTATTATTTGGCAGAGCAGTTTAAAGAGGGATTGCCTGGCAAGCTTTTTTTCCTGTGTTATTGTTATTTTTAACAGATATTCAGGACAGTCAATTCTCTCCCTGTCTTCCACTGCTGGTGTATGCAACACAAGGCCAAAGCTTTTCAGATGAGACGCTTCTCCAGCGATCAGAAATGGATTTTATTCCCTTAAGGTAGGATAAAGTTACCTGGTGTCGTGACAGAACACAAACCTTTTTTCCCCGAGTGGCTGTGAATTGTTCTACATTTGAGAAATAAATAATTAGCTTTATGGTCACAGAAATAAGGCAAAGAGGTGGTTTACTCTGTTTTGTATAGAGAGAAGGCATTGTCAGAGTTCTACTCCTCTTTTTATTTTGCCTTCAAAAGAGTTTGAACAAGAGAAAACCAGAACAAGCCTCTTCTGAACTTGTCATCCTTAACACACCTGAAGAAAATGGGAATATGAGGAACTCCACCCTCTCAGACATCGTTCTAGCTTTCTTAGGCTCTGACATAAACTCCATGAAATTTTGGGGACAAAAATTACCTACAACTTGTATTTACAGTAGTAAATACATGCACACGTGTGCATGTAATAATATTGTGGTTTGTATATACTGGAGCAATATATGTTATGTGTCATTTAAAATACATACTTTTATATAAAGTATGAATATGTAAAGAAATAGCTACTTCAGTAAAAGTCTTTGTCCAAGCCTTCGTTTCAAGGTGTGACAAATGATTCCTTTTGTACAAAGAAGGTGAGAGATCCTAGCGCTTTATTAAAGAGAGGAAAAAAAGAAAGTGTGCGTATAAACACATAATATTTAGTGACATTGATGTTTAGGCTTCCCTGTACTTTTTTTTTTATTTGACAGGAGACAGATTTGTTTCCTTATGCGATAGACTGTGACTTCCCTTTGTGAATCAGAACATAGTTCCACCACAGCTGGTGATCTGCTTGCATGGAGTAATAGTAATTGGGGTTTGACGATCACTTTCATGTAAAATAACTATGAACTCAAAATCCACAATAAAAATATTAGAACTTTATGGGAATTTGTTGCTTTTATTCCTCGGAGACCTGGCTTATTTTATATTCTTTAAAGAAATAATAGATATAATGGAATTGAAGCGAGTCATTTATATTAAAAAAAAAAAAAAGCCATTCAAATTTATATATGTGTATAAGCAATATATTTTCTTTATCTAATAAATGTCCTATTACTACAAAATACTTCAGTCCTAAATTGATTGAAAAACATTGACGTAATAAGTAGAAATTAATATTATTTTCAAAGCTTTATTCTATAGGGCAGTAGGGCTTTTTGATATTGTTTGGACTTTCTTTAAATTTCTTTGCATTTTGGCCTGTTTAGGGGATGTATTTATACGTGTGTTGCTAAATGCCAGTTATTTGTTTGAGGGAAGTTCTACTTTTGCCTCATATATAAAAGCAGAGAATATAGATGTTGGAATAAAAAGCACGATCACAAATTCGCTTACTTTTCTTGCCTCTTACAGAGGAGTCCCTGATGTTTCTGGTGCCCCTGAGGAGCATGTGAAGCCTTCGCACATACGTGAAGCCGTGTCACTGGCAGGCGCAGAATCTCCCTCTGATGCACCCAGTGACTGCTTCACTTTGTCCCAGCACCCTCTTCCATTCGGACACGTGGAACCCTGTGACGCCAGTTGTAGTGGTTGGTTGTCTCAGCAAACCTCTCTTTCTGGACAACTGCTTGTGAACAAGGAGGCAAATGAAGGCTGTAAAAATGATACTAATGAGAAGGCATTGAGTCCCCAAAGAAGTGACAATTTAGCAAACTCTGCTTCAAAGGTGATGCTGACCAAGGCAAATAGACCGAACCAAATGGAAGCTTCTCTTGCAAAGCAGACCTGTAGTACGTCTGTAAAAGATGAATGCTTCTCCCGTGGCAGCAATGTACCAGCTACAGTTTTTGAGCTTTCAGAGAAAGAAAAAGGGTTACTGAGGCATGATGAGTTCTCATCTTCAGAAAACTCCTCTTGTAAAACAGCACTGACTAAGAATTCGGAAAGAAGGGAGAGAGAGGTGCAAAAGGAAAAGGTAAAAATGGCTGAGACTGAGTCAGAAGAGTGCATGAGGCAGCTGGAGAAGCTGGAAAAAGAAAAGAAGGTTCCTGAGCTTGATTTGTCTAATAATTTATCTGATGATTTGAGGAAAGACAATTGTAAAAATTCAGATGCACAAGATGTTTTTTCTTTAAAGACTTCTGAAACAGATGAAGGAATGTTGAAGGAACACAGAGTGGATTTAAATGGCTCTGCAAGCTTGAAGTTCGTGACTGTTGCTGAGGAGCTCCAGGGAGCTTTCCCAGATCAGCAGCAGCAGCTATGTCCTGCAGTGGGATTTGAGAAAGAGGAGTTTATCCCTACTGTGACAAGCACCAGTGATTGTGCACCTAAACGAGCAGTTGTGACTGACATGGAAGCTCCTTCACGCAACGAGGATGCCCCAGTGGAAGTAGAACCTGGAGTAAGCAGGAGTGAATTAACTATTGCAGATTTTTCCATAGAAAGGGGACATAAAGTTACAGGCATTTCCCCTTCCTTTAATCTTGTAGGTGATGGCTCATTCTCTGTACACTTTGCTCATCCAAGCTATCAGTCTACTCCAGGGGTATTTCTAAAGAAAAATGTTAAGGCAGAAGGACTTGGTGTTCTTGTGATCAAATCAGGTATTCGGACCTCACCTTCATGCTTAAATGAAGAAGCTTCTGAGAACTCATCTACCAGTATGCCTGTATCTGTTGAGAAGCAGCATTCACTCCAATGTGCTCAGAAAGAAAACAATGAACATTTCGAGTCCTTAAAATTGAAATATCCCCACAGTGGAAGAATTCAGTCTCTCCCATCGCTTAGTTTCATGGAGAAGGTAGGGTCTTGGAATGTGAGCCAGCCAGAGGAGGTCCCTGATGCAGTGACTTCATGTGACCCAGGTGGAGTTTCTCCTAGAAGAAAAGCCTACAGTGCAGTTGCCAGCTCTTCAAACAATATTTTATCCATACAAAAAAGTGGTAGAGACCCCAAAGATTATGTTGCTGCTTCCTCTAGAGAGACAGGTTCCCTGGGAAGTTTGCATGTTCGTAATAAAAACTTACTGCTCATCCATCCTCTTACTAGATCTCAGTCTGACAACGCGGTAAATGTTTCTAGTAGGAACACGTCCTTGGTTGATGTTATTCTGCCAGCAAATTCAATGGAGGCAGTGCAGCCTCTAGAAGAAAAAAGTAATGTTTTAGGAGTGTCTGAAAATAGTTTAAGAGGCTCCATGATACAAAAGTTGACAGCTGAGATTGTTTCTGGATCTAGTGGTGAAGATGAAGGAAGTAATAGTACAGGACAAAGCTCACACCCAAATGTTTTTGTTTCTGGTGAAGGAGTTGCTCGGCTCCTTAGAGAGGATGGAAACTCTCCAACTGATGACCAGAAGAACTGCGATGCTCTTGAAAATCATGGACAATCTCACACCCTAGATATTCCGGCTGGCCATGTCATCATGGACCATTTCAGTGATATTTCCCCAGATAGTTTGAGTCTTCCTGTTAGTTCTGGGGGAAGTAGCCAGGGTGGCTTAGGCTTTGCAGGGCACTCTTCAGTGGTTTCCAGGGACTTCTTCAGCAGTGCTGAAGATGATAACTTCATCCCCGTTGGAGCAACTCCTTTGGAAACTCCAGTGAAAGAAGAGCTTAATATTGAAGAAAGAATCCCAGTAAGTTAGTTTCTAAAAACAATTGTACCTCTTCTTTACCTTTTGATTATCAAGAGACGAGAGTACACTCGGCTGTTGTAGAGTGAGTAGGACAGAAGTGCAAGAAGGTATCACAGGAACGAGACACTGGTATGCTTGGAGTTAGTTTCCGATAGCCAGTCATATTGGGAACCTGTCAAGCAGTAGTTACTCTTCTAGAAATACTAGCAAATACGTGTTTTATGTAAGCCTAAAAAAGTTAAACTTTATAATTTATTCTAATTTTAACTCTGGTTTCAGAGTTATCCCCCCCTTTTTTTTTTTTTGGTTTTTTTTTTTCTGGTTTTTGCTGGGATTGAGTTAATTTTTTTTCCCTCTAGTAGCTGGCATAGCGCTGTGTTTTGGATTTAGTATGAGAATAATGTTGACAACAACTGATGGTTCTGATGGTTTGGTTGTTGCTAAGCAGTACTACTCAAGGACTTTTCAGCTTCCTGTGCCTTGCCAGCGAGAAGCTGGGAGGGGGCACAGCCAGGACAGCAGACCCAAACTGGTCAAAGGGCTATTCCAGACCATATGACATCATGCCCAGTCTATAAACTGGGAGGAGTTGGCCGGGGGGGGGTCGTCCTGCTCGGGAACTGGCTGGGCATTGGTCAACAGGTGGTGAGCAATTGCGTTGTTTACCACTTACTTAGCATATTCTATTATTATTATTTTAGTTTTCCTTCCTTTTCTGTCCTATTAAACTGTCTTTATCTTGACCCATGAATTTTCCTTTTTTTTTTTTTTCTCCCCCAATTCTCTCCCCTGTCCCACTGGGGAGAGGGGGAGTGAGCGAACACCAGTGTGGTGTTTAGCTGCTCACGGGGTTAAATCACAACATTTTTCCACCATTCTTTTAGGAGACTCTGCTAGGGTCTGCATCACTACAGGCTAAATGAAATGGTTTTATGCTGGTCTGTGCTACTGGTGAATTTCATCCATAATATTAGTTCAGCTTACCTTAAATACAGAGGTGAAAGAAATAACTTTGAGGTAATATTTAACATGGGCAAAGAAGGGGTTGGATATGGGAAGGAATTTTTTTGTTTTTTCCAGGTATAGATGATAGTATCATGGTAAGAGTGCTCACGGAATCGTTTAGGTTGGAAAAGACCTCCAAGATCATCAAGTCCAACCATTCCCCTAACCCTGCCATCCCACCATTAAACCCTGGCCGTAAGCACCTTGTCTGCCCAGCTTTTTGTCGTGGTTTAACCCGGCTGGCAACTCAGCACCACGCAGCCGCTCGCTCACTCCCCCCCCTCCCTCAATGGGATGGGGGAGAGAATCGGGAAGAAAATAAAAGGTTAGAGCCGAGGGCTGAGATAAAGACAGTTTAATAAGAGAAAATAATAATAATAGTAATAATGAGAATGATAACAGAATATACAGAATATACAAAACGAATGATGCACAATGCAGTTGCTCACCACCCGCCGACCGATGCCCAGCCTGTCCCGAGCCATGATCAATCCACGAGCAGAGAGCAGTCTCCCCGCGACCGACCGACCGACTAACTCCCCCCGAGCATGACGTTCTATGGTCTGGAATAGCCCTTTGGTCAGTTTGGGTCAGCTGTGCTAGCTGTGCTGTACTCCCAGCTTGTTATGCCCCTGGCCGAGCAGGAGAAGCTCCAAAAGTCCTTGAGTAGTCTGAGCACTACTTGGCAACAGCTGAAAACATCAGTGTGTTATCAACATTCTTCTGGTACTAAATCCAAAACACAGCACTGTGCTAGCTACTGTGAAGAAAATTAACTCTACCCCAGCCGAAACCAGGACAAACAGAAATGTAAAGATTGGTGGCTGATGGTGGTGGAACATAAAAGACACAAGAACAGGACATAGTGCAATCTCTTTGATAAAAGACTTGTAAATAAGTTGGTTATAGCTGTTTTAGCAGAGCATTGATAAGCCGTTTCTGATCTTCCAGATTCTTTCAAAAGATCAGGTTATAATTATCCAAACATGAGGTTGAGACTCAAGTGCTGACTAAGGAAATGCTAGGCTGCAGAAGAGAGAGCTGAACTTCACACACCCACGGATCTGCAATAATAGCAAAACCAACACAGAACTCCTTGGCAAATCAAATTGCCTTTTTTTTTCTATAAATACTCTTTTTGCTCGTTCACTTTGTTCCAGTATCTAAGGCATGAATTCTTGATTCTGTGGCTCATAGAGGATGCTCGAAGCCTCTGCGTACCTTCCCTCCTTTAGATCTTACTTGGCTACTGCAGATTCTTTCCTCCCTTCCCCATTTTAGGACGGTTGGTGAGAATGGAGGGCAGGTTGTGGCAGCCATGTTAACTATACTAATAGCTGTTGAGTGTTAGAGAAAATTAAATGCAGATTTATGTTAATGATAAACATGTAATTATCCTCTGAGTAAGTGGCTGTTCCTCTCACAAGATGACTCCTATAATCATTAGGTCTTTGGAACTGTGTTTTAGAAGCACTCTTCTCTGAGTTGTCTCTGCAAATACGTGTTGAAACAAATATAAATATTGTAGGGAGAATATTTTAAATGAAATTCAAGAGCTGTAAAGGTTGTCTGTTAACTCCGTTTTTAATTACTATAATTAGGCATGTTCTCCAGCCCTAGTTCTGAGGAATTCTGTTCTCATAAATCACTGACAAGGTAAAGGAGATCAGGTCACGTATATGGCTATTAATATGTAGGTTTATAATAGAACCACAGGAAATAGAGTTGGCTCAGATGTATAGGGTAATTTATTTCATTTTGTTGGCTAGTTTAGGACATAGTGTAGATTAGCTGAAATTACCTTGCCCCTACAGGTGACTAAGTCAAGACAAATTTGGGGTGTGTGTTTTTGTTTTTGTTTTTTTTTCCCCTACATATAATACCTGTACGTAAACTCTGTATGTATGCTCTGTTGAAAGGGAAGAAATTACATTCCCAGGAGATCCTACGCAGCCTTTGGTAGGCTCTTACCTCTATGAGACTCCTCCAGCTTTCAAAATGTATTAATACAGGGAATGATGCCGTGTGTGTCTGAACTGACAGTCTCTAGGAGGTGCACAGAGAGAGTTGGTCTCATCCTCATTACCTTTTTCTCTAGTGTATCGCTGAGTTTTAGGTTTTGAGGATGGTTTTTATTTGACTTCTGTAAACTAACTGCTTTGTTTCATGTTAATGAAGTTAGATATGGACAGTAATTTTTATGTATGTGTGGGGTACACAAATACAAATAGTGCTTGTGTGTGTTTGTTCTGTACTTATGGAAAGGGAAAGCCCTGCATTTTATGCTGCCTTTACTAAGAAGGCATTATTGCTTTAGCTGCGCTGATAAAACTAAGTCTTGGTTGTACACAGAATTTGTACACTTGAGTATCTTGAGTACACTACGTTTTACAGACTTAAACTAGCGTAGTAGGTTGTATCCAGAAATGGTTTCATAGCTGGAGAGTTTCTGAGGTACTGCTGAAATCGGTTCATTGCACGCTGAGCAGACGGGTGATTACATATTAGACTACCTGGGTTTCTTCATAAAGCTCTCAACAGCAGAAAGTGATTCTACCCCTTGGCCAGCACAAGTTTATTCCCTACAGCAATGTCACGAAAGCTGTTTGATGATGGTTTTTTAATCAGCTTTGACAAAAGGGCTCCCAACTACTTGCCTTGAAGACTAGCCCATATTGAATTTGCTCTTAAAAATCATAGAATCATTTGATTGGAAAAGACCTTTAAGATTATCAAGCCCAACCGTACCTGTCCACTACTGAACTGCATCTCTAAGCACCTCCTCTACCCATCTTTTAAAGAAAAGAGTGAGGAACTCTTAGAGAGTGAGGAACTTTCCTGCTGCCGAGCTTGAATTTCAAAGTCTGATAATGTTTTCCTTACAGCAATCATTTGGGGAGAAAAAGGTTTTTAAACCAAATCCTTGTGTTCTCCTTCCAGCTGGCAAATGTCATTTTAAAGAGGCGAGGCTGAAGCTTACCAACCTCCTCTGAAGTATCAGACTTCTTGCTCATGCATTTGAGTAAAAGGACTATAAGCAGTTGGCTCTTGTCACAGGAACAAGATAATGTGGCCTCTTCTTTGCTGACTTTTTCCATTGTTTGTTGATCCTGTGCACTGGTTTGGTGGTAGGAGGCTACTGCCAGTTGCTGTCTTTGGCCCGTGATGCAGGAAAGGTCAGGAAAGCGCCAGGTAAAACTGTTGGTGAGTGCAAGCACAAGCCATCGCCACAACAGTTCTTGCAACTTATTTCTGAATTGCTGCCTAGCCTAAATCAACGAGGAATAGACTGCAGGATATGTCGCTTGTTCTGCTGGGCTGCATGTGGCTCGTGAGGTCCCCGTTCTGTAGGCCTAGTTATACTAGCTAGAAAACAGGCTTGTCACTCACGGTCCAAAGAATAGAATAAACTGGAGATGTTGCCTCATATGTGAATGCTTTAGTGCTTTCAGTGAACTGTTAGTGCGAGTTGAACTTGACTGAGGTTTAAGGTGTTTTAAAGTGAGTTGTTAGCGTTGAAGATGACGCAGAAAACGCGTGCAACTTCAGAATCCATCGACACTCTCCGAGTGCCATATGTGTTACTTATTTCTTCTTTTGCCAGATATATCTTCGCAACCTTGGCATTGATCAGTCACCTGGAACTATACTGACACCATTTGTACCCCGAGGACCCATCAGGGAAGTTGAATTTTCCCCTTCAGAGCTTCGAACGCTGAAGGACTCCACTGACACGCTGACGAGGGTTGCTCTGCAGCCACAAGGTATGGGGAAGGAAGACCTTGCATTGTGCAAGCCTTCGAGAACGCAGAACTTCAGACTCACCTGTGAGGTTGCTCTTGGCTTGGTAGTGAGGTGTTTTTCTTCTCACGCGATGCTCTGCTTCATTCATGTGTCTTGATCTCCTATCTGAAATGTGAGATATTTGGCATTAGAAAAGTAAGCAGTAAAACCTGTGAAAACATGCCTTCTCACTAAGGAGTCATGGCTCCGTGGCATCTTCTAGCCAGTGCAGTGGCATTTTATTGTTGTTCTTTATTTCTCTTTTCACAAGAGTTCTAAAGAAGGAAATATTTTTTTTTATCTAAAGATTAAAGGAATGTTACCAGACTTTTTCTTCCAGTGAAAGAAATTAGTCTTGGTTTCTTTTTCTTTCTGAGACTACTTGGTGTGTTCATTGTGACAGAAAGTCATATGTGTTTTATGACTGACCAGATCAGTTCATAAATCCATCCATCTCAACATAAAAAACCCATTGATATGACTAACAAGTGTTGAGTCATTTCTGTATGAAGAACAGTGTGTGCTCGGTTAGGGTTAAGATGTTCCTCAGTGGCACACCCATGTAGTATGTCATCAAAACATGAAAATGTCCACTGCAACTACTTCAGAAGTGTATTTTCCTTGGCATATTCTGTTTTGGCATTTGCATCTTGTACCCAGTGGGGAAGAGTGGGATCTGAAGGCTCTTCACAAGTACCTGCCTAACCCTTTGACTATCTGTGACTTCAGGAATCCTGCACTGACCTGTCTTTCTAACCAGAAGTGATTAAATGCATCTCTTCTTATGCCTGTTGGCCTTGCTTATTTTATTATTTTTGCCTTCTTTAAGCATTGTGGGAGACTTGGCAACTGAAACAACTCGGCAATCGGTACGGGGCAGAGTTGTCCTCAAGAAAGATACTGTTTACCTGGGCTCTGAACTACTTGGTGGACTTGAAAATATCAGCAGTTGGGCCGTGAAACAAAACTGTGTTTGAAACAAATAAAATAGCTGTTGGCAGGCATACTTGGGACCTGGCTCTTCACCGTTATATCCGCCAGCATGGAGTTAAGAACAGCGTTTGCACTTACATTTGGCTTTTTTTTTTTTTTTTTTAAAGCAGTTAAGTGTTATATATTCAAGTGCTAAAAGTGCATCTTGTCTGATTTTGGACCTTTCTAACCAGTAGTGGGAAACAAGCTTATCCATAGCATGTCCTTTGCCTTTTTCCAAAAGGATATTTTGGAAATACTGCCCCACAGCCCTCCTGTTTTTTGCAGGGATACTGTTTATAATCCAGGTGCTCATCTGGACATTCAAGCACCACCGTATCATTTATCTAAAAACATTTATTTAAAATCCACTCTAAGCATTTATTTAAAAGCAAGTTATTTAAGTCAAGTCCTGTAGTTTCTTTGATATTTATCCAAAACGGTCTAAGAGATTTTTTTCGAGTAGACAATTCTCATGGAAGTCTTAGTTCAACTCTCATTCTAAAAACAGTTTCCTGGATGTTTTCCAATATTTGAATTCTTCCCGCCCTCTAGTACAAGAAAAAGTAGCCTTCAGTGATGCAGCTGTTTTCTGGAGCCCCAAACTTAATGAACCTTCTGTTTCTTTGTAGGTAACTTGCTGTCAGCCGTTGAAATTACGCAAATGAGTTTTAACTCCAGCACTTCCACTCTCAGTATGTCTATACCAATGAATTCAGAAGTTGGCTCTGATATTGTGTCACCCCGTGAACTCTCTCCCCGCTTCTCAAGATCTTTTGGAGACAAACCAGTGAGTCAGTGCAGTATGTCGTGCCACCAACTGGAGATGACTGCTCTGCTTTCTGCACAACGGGAGGCAGAGTGTTCAGCTGTCTCCGAACTAGCTGAACCAAACCAGCAGCTGCAGGCTGTTTCACCTGACTGCCATTCTGACAGAGAGGGTCCCATGCTTGTTGCAAAAAGTGTTCAGGATTTGTTAGCTAAAAATGAGTCAAAAGATGTGAATAGCAGCCTGCAGAGATGGACTGCCAGTTCTTTGGCTGCAGTTAAAAATGAAATGGAGGTTGACAGAGGATTACAAACTTCAAGCGTAGGTAGTAAGAGAAATAAGGGTCAAGAAAGTGATTCTTTGGTTGGATCTGGTGCATTGCAAGAAGTATGTAAGCTTTTGGCAGAGGCAGAGGATATAGCTGGTAGGTGGCGTGATCCTCTCTTTTCTACTGCCTCTTCTAGAGAAACTGGTGAGTCTTCCCCAATGCTGATTAGAAAGGAGGATGGCCCCAAAGATTCCAGGTTAGTGAAAGACAGCATCCCTCAGTTTCAGAAGCAACTGTCATGGGATGAGACTCTGTTCCCAAGAAGTACGCAAAAAGAGGGGTCGGTAATAAAGCCTCTGAATCATAACACAAGCAATTCGAGATGGGAAAATTCTTTTGATGTCAGTTTGCACAGTAGTGAAGAGCTGATGAAGGAAATGACCAAAGAGTTTAGGATGGGAAAATCTGTAGGAAGGGCTGAGCCAGAAGGCTGTAGTAGTGTAACGACAGACAGAAATCCACCTGGTTTTGTGGGTCACGCACAAAGCAATGGAAGTAGTGAAGTCAGCACTGGAAGTAGCTCAGAGTTGGGGAATCCTTCCTCAGAGCTTCTAGGCAGCGTCACCGATGTTGCAGGAGGCTTCCAGATGATGTTGTCTAAAGCTAGTACAGCTGGAAGCAAAGCAGGAGGCACACAAGAGAGTGACGGCAGTAGCAGTGGAGATTCGCTAGCTGCCCGGGTCAAAAACCTTCTGGGCAATCCTTCTTCCTCAGAGCCTGTAGGCAATGTCACCAATGTCGCAGGAGGCTTCCAGAGGAGGTTGTCTAAAGCTAGTGCAGCCAGGAGCAAGGCAGGAGGCACGCGAGAGAGCGACGACAGCAGCAGTGGGGATTCACTAGCTGCCCGGGTCAAAAACCTTCTGAGAAATGGATCACCTGTGATACACGCAACACAAATTCTGAAGAGTGCAGATGAAGAGGAGAGGAAAGCACGAGGTAATAAAATGTCTCAATTGTGTTTTATCAAGTGCTACGGTAGAATGGCAAATCTTTATTTAGATGTATGTTTAAGGGATTGCTTTGAAATGACTTTGAAACAAAGGGATATGGATGTAAGAGGACCTCTGAGGTCGTCTGAATCTGTTCCCCTGATATTAAAGGTGTTTATATTCCATTATTAATGATAAGCATTAATGGGACAGGGCTTAAAGGATCAATGTTTTTTTAGTTATGTAGTATGATAGAGTGGGATAGAACTGGACTTTTCCAGCTTGAATACCTTCTTTTGCCTAACGTGACAGGAGAAAGTGTTTTGT